TTTATGAACTCTAATGAACTTATAATGATGCTCCTACTCTTTGAAGGTGAACCGATGGTACCACACCATCTCTCAGTCGGACAGTCTGATCAATTTGATCAAAATCCTCCAGTTTAAAATCCTCACTGCTCAGATGAATCCTCCTCAAAGATACTTCCTCCTCTTCCTCACATCTTGTTCTTTGGGAAACCTTCACAATGAAAACAGGAGATTTGTGTCTACACAAAAACATTTTACAAAAGAGGTCAATCTTATTTTCTATTTCCTATAATTCTCACTAGTTTTATTTTTTTATATCCTAGAACTTAAAGGAAACTCCAGTTTTAATGCATATCTCTTGGTAATGAACCAAAACTACAGAAATAGTGAGTACTGTTGGATTTCATATGTAAAATCCAACTGTACGTTTGTTAGCAAAATATTCCTGTTATCAGATCTCAGTCAGCTTCATTGCAGCTGAACACCGTGTTGCACTGAACATCACATCAGCTGGTGGACAGCACAGTAATAGTGATACAGTGACACAGTGATACAGTACAGTAATATTATATTCACAAAATACTCACAATAATATGTTCATCTTACTTATGAAAAGTTATCTCCCGAGACCTGACGTCAACAGTCCGTCGATTAGAACAGAAATAAGCTGCGAAGTGCTGAGACATCTTCTGCTTTAACCAAATAAGGACGACCTCTCCAAGATGGCAGCCGAAATTCCTGCGCCGCAGCAGCCGATGAGGCATCTAGTGATTATATATCTATGGGTAGCACCGCTCAGTATTGGTACGACTAGGTTTTCTTTCCGGTGTGGAATCTAGCTACTCTAATTGACGTTCCCCCAAAACACAGGAAAATTAATTAAATTGAATATAAATAAACTAAAAAGCCCCCCCAACATACAACACTAATTAATCTGATAGCACCTTGTACTTACTATTTTTTTGTAATTTATAAAAACAAAACAACTGGACTTTATTTTGTAACTGAAGATTCTTCGCTTCACATCCGAGGATCTCTCGATCTTTCTCAGACGGCAAAAGACGAAAAAAAGGGGGAAAAAAGGAAAAAAAAAAAAAAAGACAGGTGGTTTGGGGGGGGGGGGGGGGGAGCCATCTATGTGAAAAGAGAGAAACCATCTTTAAACAGAGGTCTCAGATGGAGCTTTAGACCTGATACCCAGTCATTTTCACTCCAATCAAGAATTCCATTCATGTGACCAGAGTGGCCCATCTGTGAGTCAGCCTAACAAAAACCCTAACAAACCTCCATTGTGAGGAGTGAAAGGGGCAATCTGCATATGAATCTAGTTTACAGAACACCTCAACTTACAACTTTTGTAAGATCCAGTACCTCAATGTTTATCAAAGTAATTTAATAAAAGCATCTGCATTCAAAACTATAAACATTTTGAGATTGTAGTTGATTTAAGGCAGCAGTATTTTATTCGTCTCTGCTCAGACTAGAGCTCGTCAGTCTGATCCGAATTAAACTATTTCTCCTGTAATTAAAGCTGAGATCATTCAAAGAGCTGCCTGCAACAGAAACTCACTTCTGTAGACGAGTTTCTGCAGATCTCAGCGGTTTGAAGCCGTAAGAGAGGGCCGGAGTACCGTTATGTCAAATGTGAGACAGTCGTACAGAAAACAACAAATTCCTGAGGGTCGTTGCTGCCAAGAGCTTTGATGAGCCGCCTGATCATCAGGTGGATCCAGAATGAAAACAATTCTGTATTTCATGGAAAATAAACATGTCATGCTTTGTGGATCATGCAGATTGTTCTTGAACTATTCCAACCATGAAAAACAAACGGTAAATAATCTTGCTCGTCTTTTTGTTTAGCTTTAGCAAATGGACCCAAACAGCTGTATAACCTCACCACCTCTGATAAGAAGAAAAATATAAGTTAAAACTGGCCTGAAAGGCTGGAGCAATTTAAAAGCCTAAAAGGTTAGTCTTCCCTAGAAAGCCGTCAGTCCACAAAAAAAAAAAAAAAAAATTTCCATCATAAACAACTTGAGCAGAGCCACAGCAGTCATTTTCAATCTAGTGTTTATTTGTGATGGCAACAACATGCAAAACCTCTAATATAAAAAAATAGGAACATTTTAAAAATGAGGCAGCTGCAAAGTGAAAGAAAAGCAGAAATGTCCAGGAAACAGTTTGCTGTCTGGACCCAACAAGCCTTCTCTGTAGTGTTCATTGTTTATTGGAAACCAGCAAGAAAATACAATAAATACACGTGAATCTAAAAGGGGGAAAGTCTGCGGCGAGACTTTACATACAGCACATGAAGAGTTAATGAAGCTTCAAAATCATGTGAAATGACGGACTGGTGTGTAATTACAGGAGTGGTGGATTGGTTGTGTACGAATGTGGAGCATCCTCTGCTCGGAGTTTAATCTTCATTTAATTTCTTATAAATGGAGTTAAAAATATAGCTAATCACTGTCTGATGTCATCGAAATGAAAATATAACTTCTAACATCCGTGTAGATTTTTTTTTATTATGGAAAGAAGTTTAAATTACTGCAGGAGAGAAACTTTACAAGTTAAAATGCAGAACAGGCAAATAATGAAGAAGAAAATAAAAGGACAATATGTCTGTCATATTGGTAAGGATTCAACAAATCTGTCCTCAGTTTGATTCATGAAAAACAAACCTTTATTTTATTACAAATGCTCGACACCACAACAAGTCCACTTCAGCGTCACGCACTGCCCAATTACTGGCAGTTCTCCATCCTCAGCTTGTGTCCAAGATTCAGAGGGCAAGCTTTTACATAGAACATCCGCGTTTTGTTCTTTTATACAGAGCAATTAAAAAAAATGAAGGAAAGATGCATCAAACAGAAATCCAAGGCCTCGGATGAGAATCTGCAAGTTTTCCTGCTTCGCTGATTCTGGATCTGATGGAGGCACAGCTTTGCTTTCTGTCTCAGGCATCTTCCACCAGAAGGGCAGGAAGGGGAGGCAGTGGAGGAGGGTGAGGTGTCCGATGATGCTGCTCCTCCCCCTGCGACCCCCTGCCGTTGCGACTCTGCTGGAACTCTCCTCCTTGGCACTTAGGCTGGCAGGCTCAGCTTCTTCCCTTTCAGAACTGAAAGCAGACGAGCAGAGTTCTGCTGAGTCGTCATCATAGAGAGAAAACACAGCACGACGCCGTCTCTTTCAAAACAATCCAACTTCAGAAAACAGAGAGATGTTGGGTTAAATGTACCGGTAAGTAAAAACATGTCTAGTTTTATGCTTCAGTCGAGTTTTACCCGTGTTTAGGATAATGAAGTTAAAGACTTTAATTTCAGCATATTCACACCCTGCAGCTTGAAGAGAACTAAAGCTTACAGAAGCTCAGATGAGCACACTCTGCACTCTGGAGGTATTTTAGAGAAAAACTCAAGTCCAACATCAGTGAAAGACGCTGCATGAAAGAACTTGGGACATTTTGATGTACGGGTCAAAAAGAATTATGAGATGAAGAAAAGTTTGTTTGCAAAAGATCAGAAAACTCTAGACAAATAAAAAAAACTGACCATCAGTTCAACATTCTGTTAAAAATCTGTAAAAAAAAAAAAAAAAAGTTTTTATAAAACTTGGAACAGCAATTATGTAAAACCATTTAAGATGTCAAAAATGCCAGTTCAGTCATGTAAACTCCAACTTTCAGTGACCCGTTAGAACTTTTAATGATGTTACTATGACAAAATATGTCGGAGCTACTGTTCTCCAGAGAGAGCAGAGTTTTCCCATGTTCCAGTCCACACAGTTTTATTTAATTATTCAGATTTTGTCTGCACTGGGCTGTGACCAGAAGTCATAGCACAGTGAAGTAGTCCCTCGCTGCTTCGCAGTTCGACTTTCGTGGACTCGCTCTATCGCAGTTTGTGAACGTACAGTCCATAATACTGTAGGAAATAAATAAATAAAATACATTTGTACAGGACACATGATTGTCAACTTTAATATAACTCACATGATTGGGACAGTACTGCACAGTAAAGGTAACGAAAAATAAAATACGTCGGACAGGTGTTACTATTTTGTAGTTTTCTCCCAGTAAGCCTCCACTGTATTCCCACTCATAATGACCACATTTCCCAGAAGGCAACAGCGCCCCGCCCAGAAGCCCCGTCTCCTTTTGCTGAAAAAACAGAAGTAAAGCTTTGATCTGACCCATCGGTGAATCTTGAGAGCTGGTAGTCGACCGAGGAGGACTTCCGAGCATTTACGCTGGTCCGGCACCATTTAACTTTTTTCATCCAGACTACGGTCCTGCGCCAACCAACAGAAGGTCTGCCCCACCCCCCACCAAAATGTGCTTCGGCACTCAAGAACTGCACTGAACCAGACCAGAACAGGACCTCCAGACTCAGCAGTGAACCCGAGAACTCTTAGCCAGCCCACGCGGACCACCGAGTGGGGACACGCCGGTGAGTATGATTAAGCAGCTACATAAAAGTATGCTGAACAGAGTCGGACTGGAACAGTCAGACCAGAACCGAGAGCTGCTCCTGTTCTGCAGAGCCTGATCAGTAAAATTTAGTAGCTACATATTCAGTCCTGTCCATATGTTGTTAAAATGACTTAGGTGTAAGAGTTTAGAACATTGTTGGAAGGGTTTATAAAGCCTTAAAATTTATATGAATACTAAAATAAATATAATGTCGCTACTTTGCGGAATTTCATTTACTGCAGGCGGGGGTGGGGGTGTCTGGAACCTAACACCCACAATAAACGAGGGACTACTGTAATCCTGACTGAGTCCCATGTTCAGGTGTATACTTTGTTCATTTATACAACAAATAGTTTTTACAGATTAGTAATAAAAATAAATCAGTGCTTTTGCACAGGCAGCCTTGAAAATAAAACAAACTCACGGCTTGAATGTGTAAAAAACAGACTTACCTTTGGTTACATACAAATAGAAGAAATCGCAGTAAAGGATGGTTTGGACCACTCCCGCCACGATGGCGATCATGTCAAAGAAGCCTTCAAAGTAGAACCTCCATATCCAGTTGATGAGGTAGAGGGCTCTGTAGAGGCCAAGGAAGAACAGGTAGTGGGTGGTGATGGTCTCAGCCTCCCCTGTTTTACTGATCATGAAGAGCTGGGGGAGAATGGCCACAGACTCCAAGTAGATGGAAAACGTCCACAAGATCTGTGGCACAAAAGAGACGTTCAGGTAAATTTAGTAGAAAACCTCCAGCAGTGATGGAGAACAAGAAAAAGTTTAAAAGAACTATGACGAAGTTGACACTTCACTTATATTGTTTTCTGTTCACTCTTTACTGAACGGGCTTCAATTTCTGACCTCCAGAGGAGAGAAGTCATGGTTCACCAGGAAAGCCAGTCCACCAACGGGGACGACCAGAAACTCCACCCTGAACGTGTCATGGTTCCCGTCATAAGTCGCCTTGAACTTCATGTAGATCAGGTACACCGTGGCGTATGAACAGCCAATATAGATGAGCTGGAAGATCCAACAAGAGCGTGCAGTTCAACGTATGCACCACACCTCAGCTCCGGGAGTTCAACAAGGATCATGACACATATTCTAGGAGCATAATGAGGCTTTCACCTTCATGGTGGTGTTGTAGAGGGAGATGAAGGATGTGAGCAGGTCCAGGTAGCGAGTGGTGAAGACCAAGGCAAACAGGACCTGACTCTTCCCAGAAATACCTGCAAAGGAGCAGCAGAGCATAGTGATGAACAGATGGCTGAACATATGCATAACGTGGAGAGTCTAGATGAAATCGGATGGTGGTCACAGAATCCAGATTATCCCAGAGCAATAATCTCAGATTGCTCAGCACGTTGTAGTTCAGAATAAAACCGTAAAAGTTATTCACAGTAAACCAAAACCTTGCTTTGCTTTCCTTCCTTAAATGTGACAAACTACCCAACATTCAGCATTTCTGCAGCCAGTCTACACATATGTGAAGCAACTGACCCAGAACCTAACCAGTAGGAGCTGCAAGAACCTTTCTGCACACTTCAGTTCTGTTAAAAGAAGCCAGAGTTAAATATCTAAGGGGCCGTTTACACGGTGCGTATTTTGAGTGCATCCGCAGCTTTTTCTCTGCGGTTCTGCTGATCATTTACACGACACCAGTGGCCCACCCTCTTTGAATCCGGAGGTTTTTCAACCCACCTTCCAGAGTGGAGGTTTTTTGATGACCCCCCGCTGATAATGTAAACATCTCCCGCTGAGGCTTTGTGTTAAACCACATGCGCGGACAGACGCTATTTTTCTATCAACATGGCGACGGACACACTGCTTTCAGAACTACGACTGATGGAATATATTTTTAATCTTGTAGTTAATCTACATCAGATTCCAGGTGCTGTGACCGACATCTGTGCTGGAAGAGACACAGACAGATCCAGTTCTAATATCGCTGTTTATAGAACGTGGCACGCCCACTTGTCGCGCTGCACTATAACTTACTAAATGTGCTTAGTAATAAGTTTAATAATAATAAACAGTATTTATGTTAGTGTGAGAGATAATGAAGCTCTGAGCTAAATGAAGCTATCTGGACATTATGCAATTCAAATTTAAAATTATGCTGAACTATAGCGTGAACACTAAAGTTGAAAATGAAGACATCAGGTTTAATTGTTATTTATTCAACACCACAAACTGTATGTCACACAAACACTGATAATAAAACTGAACACACTATTAAAAACAAGTTAACTGTAAACTACGTTAATGAACTGGACTCTTTTCATCCGGTATGGAAGTCCCACATTGTTCATCTGGCTCGTTCAGGCTGTCACTCCTTTTGATTAATGCAGCTTAAAACATTGAATGGATTGAATAAAACAACTGAGGGGAATTTTAAATAAATAGTTCATCCAACATCTCTCTCTCTCTTCGACGTCCTCCTGCACTGCACCTGGGCCGAGCCTCGTTCAGAACCGGTCCGCCTGGTGGGAGACAGCTTGTTCTTCTTCTTTCAGGAAAAAATAAAAACTCAATTGGTTGTTTTGTAACCCAAGTAAACACAAGCAAACATTATTAAGAACATTGATTTACCTGCAGTTGTAAAACAGCTACCGATTATCACGAAGTAAAGTCCGACATCGTCGACTCGGTTCTGGTCCACTCAGCAACGGGCGTGGAACTGTTAGACAAAGCGGTCCCGCTTGGCGTCAAATCTGTCGACTCTTATCCAAAATCCAGTCAAAATCCAACTTTTACTTGTTGTTAAATTGTTGTTAGCTGAGCTTTTTAGTAGGGATGCACGATCCACTTTTTTAAACTTCCGATCCGATACCTAAGTCTGAATATCAGCCGATACCGATCCAGTTCCGATATCATGATCATCAATGATTTTATATGAGGCTGTAATAATCTCCTCTCAAGTACAATTTGTACAAATATATGCATGCATGTCCAAAAAGGCAACTTGAGGTAAGTTTTATTAATGTTGGATAAGTTTTAAAGTTAGAATTAAATTCTGCTAACACAAAACATGTTTCTTTTTATTCCTAGTTTTAAAGTGGATATTAAAGTGATTAATTTAAGTGATTGTTTAAAGTTATTTTAGTTTTTTTTTTTAATAAGGGGCAGATATAAGATTTTTGTTCTTCTTTCTGCACTCTTTTCATTCAATGTTTTCTTTTTGATGATTTTTTTTATTTTGTTTCTTTTAAATGAATGAATAAATGAATTAAATAAAATGTTAAATGGCTTCAAACACCTGATAAGTTCATGGCATAAACCAACAGACATGTTCCCGTTTTTAGTATTTTACATCACTTTATAATCTAGCTGTTTTTGTTTTTAATATAATTTTCAAATCATATGTTTTTTTATGATTGTTTACTGTTGCACTGATAAATATCTCCTGGAGGGTAAACTATATCTTGGCTGCAAGTATCAAGCTGTGAAATCTTTCATTTTCTACAACTGATAGCAGTTGGTCATTAATTATGATGAAGTTTAGCAACTTCTCTGTAAACATTTGAGCTCCGTGGTTTCAGCGATGTCTTCTTCTTGTTCAATCTGAAGCAGGCAGCCTGATTTGGGGCAGCCACGCTCAGTCTGTCCCTCCTCGGAGACGGGCAGATTAAGCGGGGCAGATTGAGCGGGGCAGATTGAGCGGGGCAGATTGGACGCGGCTGGCCAGGGTCGAGTCGCCTCTTTCCGGTTGAGCAAAGAGCAGTGCCCCGCTGAAGCCACGGAGCTCGAATGTCCAACGTAAAACTAACTTTACCGCGGTTTAGGGCTGCAACTAACGATTATTTCAATAATCGATTCATCGGCCGATTATTTTTTTGATTAATCGATGAATCGGCAACAAAAAAAACAACGTTTTAATTTCCACCCCTTTATTCCAAAATTGAACATTTGACTGACAGAAATTCGCACAAAAATCAGGTTGCTATTTGACTATTCCGTTAGTAAAATATTGAATAATAAAAAATAAAAGTTAGTCAAATAGCTTAAAAAAATAAATGTTCACAAATATTTATACAAATGTATCTTTATACCTGCACAATATGTAGCTACTTTGCAAAATGTGTCATTGAGGGAAGAGTGTAACCTGGATTAAAAGAGTGGATTATTGTAACCTGGATTAAAAGTGTGGATCATTGTAGTGAAGCCTTCATCTTCAACCATCGACAGAGGCCTCATGCCAGTGACGATCATTTAAGGATCTTTCAGTGAAGACAGCTGCTGCTGTGGTGTCCATGTTGTCTGTCCATCATGAAGGATGTTGTTGTTGTTGTTTTCTGGAATGAGAGTAAATATGTATTATAGCATAATTTACAGCAACTCAAGAAATGCCTTGTTTCACTTACAGTGTTAGGTTCAGGCAAAAGTAGCTAAAAGAGCAATTAAACACATACACACACATATAAAATACTTAATTACACACATTTGAGTAGATGTAATAAATTACTTTAATTCCTGTTTAAATGCAATTCACCCTGCCATACCTGCAGTGTCTTCAGACTTTGCCAGCAAATTAAAAGTTGAAGCTTAATCATTAAATTATTATCTTTGTGTTAGATTTATTTATAAATCACATTTAAACACTGCTTGTACCAATTAAATAAAATAAAAAGTAACATGTTCTCTATCACTGTCATTAATCAGCAAACAAACAAACAAACAAACAAAAAAACAAACAAACAAACAGCTTCATCTACCAGACAGACTGACGTTACGTTTTCTCTCTTGGAAACAGAACAATGTGTTAAATTGTAGAGACTCACCTGCAACACATGAAGAGTTGTATCAGCTGCAGCTCCTTCCTCCTCCTCGTGACTCCGACATGTTTACGTTTCATCTCCGTGGTTCTCCCGTGTCGTGTCGGCAATTTTCAAAGCTGCATGCATCTCATTTTTTATCTTTGTGAAGTTCTCCCACTCTTTGGAGGACTTGGGTCGAAAAGTTTTCTCTGCGTCGGTCATTTGTAAAATTTACTTAATTTCCTTTGAAAACAGGCTCTGCTCTGCCTCGCTCTGTTCAACTCGCGCTGCAGGGTTTTTTTTTCAAACTTTATTCAGTCAGTCAGCATTGACAATGAACTGCCCGTGAGCAAAACAAAACGGCTCCGCAGCGCCGTGAAAGATGCATAATCGCGCGACACAACGAATCAATAATGAAATTCGTTGCCAACGCTTTTAATCATCGATTTTTATCGATTCGTTGTTGCAGCCCTACCGCGGTTTAATGTGGCGCTATGGCTCTGCAGACATTGCACGTTGCTGTCTTGTTTTGTTTCTAGTGTAAAATACTTCCACACAGCGGAAATGTTTAGATGAAAAGTTTGTTAGCTGTTAGCCACATTGCTGCTAACTCAGTCCTCACGTTGTAGCTGGCTGCAAACTATGAAATGGATTTCCTGAATGTGAGGCGGGTCTTATTACTCTGGGTTCATGAGACACGCCGCCGTTCAGGAAATCCATTCCATAGTTTGAAACCAGCATGCATCATGGATCGGAAATATCAGCAGGTGGATCGGAAAAATCCGATACCTAAATTATGCTGGCATCAGAGGCCGATACCGATACTGGATCGGCCCCATCCCTACTTTTTAGCTCACAGGAAAAACGCGTGTTGCTGTCTCCCACCAGGCGGACCGGTTCTGAACGAGGCTTGGCCCAGGTGCAGTGCAGGAGGACGTCGAACAGAGAGAGATGTTGGATGAACTATTTATTTAAAATTCCCCTCAGTTGTTTTATTCAATCCATTCAATGTTTTAAGCTGCATTAATCAAA